GTTTATTTGGAATGTTTGTTTCATGAGGTAAGCCTATATTGCTATGAATTTTCCTCTTAGAACTGCTTTGGCTCTGTCCCATTTTTTGGCGGGGGGAGTTGTATTTTCCTTTTTATTTGTCTCAAGATATCTTTTGATTTCTTCCTTGATCTTATTAATCTATTTATTATTTAGTAGCATATTACTTAGCCTCCATGTGCTTGTGTGTTTTCCAATTTTCTTATAATTGATTTCTAGTTTTGTACCATTGTGATCAGAGAAGATGCTTGATATGATTTCAGTCTTAAATTTATTGAGACTTGTTTTGTGACCTAATATGTGGTCTGTCCTGGAAAATGTTCCCTGTGCTCTTGAAAAGAATGTATATTTTGCTGCTTTTCAGTAAAATCCTAAAAATATCAATTAAGTTCATCTAGTCTAATGTATTATTTAAGGCCACTGTTTTCTTGTTGATTTTCTATCTGCATGATCTACTCATTGATGTCAATGGAGTGTTAAAGTCTTATAGTATTTAGTCTTACTGTCTATCTTTCCCTTATGTGTGTCAATATTTGCCTTTTATATTTGGGTGCTCCTGTCTTGGATGTATAAATATTTATAAGAGATATTCCTTTGTTGGATTGATCCCTTTATCATTATGAAATGCCCTTGTCTCTTGTTATAGCCTTTTTTAAAAGTCTCTTTTGTCTGATATAAGTATTGCTACCAGGCTTTTTTGTTGTTTTCATTTGCACAAATGTCTTTTTCCATCCTTTTACTTTCAATCTGTGTGTCTCCATCTTGTTTATTTCTTTTTCTGGAGTTTTCTCCTCATCTCTTATTTGGTACACGTTTGTCTCCTCATTTCAGCTGACTCTCTGTGTTTGTTTCTATGTGTTAGATAGATCTGCTATGTTTCCCGGCCTTGACAGAGTGGCCTTATGTAGAAGGTGTCCTGTGGGGCCCAGTGGCACAATTTCCCTGGTTACCTGAGTTGGTGCTCCAGAGGTGTCCCCTGTGTGGGTTGTACATGCCTTCCTTTTGTAGTTGAGACTTGATTGCTGTTCACACATCAGTGGATGGGGTTAACCCTCAAGTTAACTGGCCGTGAGGGCTGACTGTGACTACAGCAGACAAGCTGTTGTGCAAGGGGCTGACCCCATGGGACAGGAGTCACTTTAGTGGTGCTCTGGTGTCAGCCAAATCTGCTCTTTGGGTGTATCATTTGTGGAGCTGGTTGTATGTTGCTCTGGTGTGGTATGAAGACAGCCAATGGATGATATATTGGTTCTGGATCCTCTTGGGAGGGGCTCTGGTACAGCTAAGTTCAGCTGCTGCGCGTGCTGGGCTTGGGGCTTCTTGATAGGAGCTACAAAATGATCTGTGGTCGGTTGCCACTTGTGTTGGCTTAGAGGTACTTAGGAGAGTTTATGCTATGATTCGAGGCCAGCTGCCACTTGTGCTGGGCTTGTGGTTGCTTATTTGAAGCTACAGTCCAAGGCACGACTGGCTGCTGCTTATGCCAGACTTGGGGCCACTTCATGGAAATTACAACACGAGTGACCAGTTGCTGCTTTTGCTGGGCTTACAGCTGCTTAGCAAGAGCTACAAGGCATGCCAAGGCTGGCTGCTGCTTGTTTTGGGGATTTGTTGACCTTTCAGAGATTTGGGGAAAGTCTGCAATGTGAGCTGAGGCAGGCCACTTGAGTAGAGGAGCCACTGGAAGAAACTCTGGCCTTGCTCACAGTTGGATGGAGACCCAGGGAATCACCAGAGCAGGGTGCATGGTGTTAGCCAGGTTAATGAAGAAACAGATTTGAAGAAACAGCCCACCTGCTCCTGCTGGCTGGGTAGAAGGAAAATTCATAAAAGGAACAGTTGTGCCTGCCCACACTTCCATCCTCAGAGACAGTTGCCTTGATCCCTGCTTCCCAGCCTTCATCCTGAAGTTAGTCAGTTTAGTTCCTCCACGTATGTCCCTGGTGCTTTTTGAGCTGCTGCCCCTGCTCTGGAGCTCAGAGCAAGTGGATTTGTGAGTGAGTTAATCTGTGCACGGTCCCTTTAAGAGAAGCACCTTGATCTCTAGTAGACCTTTGTCTTTCTCAGACACAATCCCTGCTGGTTTTCACAGTCAGATGTTATGGGGCTCCTTTTCTTGGCACTGATACCCTGGGTTGGGAAGCCTGGTGTGGGGCTGGGACCCCTCGCTCCTCAGGGAGGACCTCTGCATCGGAGATATCCCTCCTGATTCTTGATTACTACCTCTAAGATCTGATTATCACCTCTAAGATCTTAGATACTTTTGTTCTAAGTGTTTGTCGGATCTGCCTGTTCTACATTCCCACCCCCCAATCCCGCAACCAGTCTAGATGTGGCTTGTCTTTTATATCCTTAGTTATAGGAATTCTGTTCAGCTAGTCTTCAGGTGTTCTCTATAATAGTTATTCTATAATTTAGTTGTAATTTTGATGTGGTCATGGGAGTAGGCAAGCACAGAGTCTTGGGAAGTCTGAGAGTGTTCTCTTTATTCTTCATTTTTACATTAAAGCTTATGCTAATGAACCTTCTGCCAGCCCTATCCTGGTGATTATCATGTTTCTGAGGATAATCTTTAAAGCTCACTTTTCTTGAAGCTTGATAAAGAGCACAACCTGAATTTCCAACAGGAGAAAGAAGAACTAAAACTAGCTACAGTCCTTATGTTTGAACTTTTTGTGAAATGAATAGTCACAGAACATCACTATTGATAACCATTTCCAGTTGAACTCCCTGCCTGTGCCATTTTGAGGATAGGTTAAGTTTTGATTATAGAAACCTACTATCTGAAGATTGGAACTTCAGAGACCACAGCCAGAGTGATGAAGAGCATTTAAACCATGATAGATAAAGACAGGCTCAGATAAGGAAATAGCCTGGAGAAGAGAATACAGAGAAGAGAGCCATCTTGAGATAGGTTGAGAACTGTCCTATGGCAAAGCAATTTGATATTTCCTATAAATCTTCAAGGAAATGACAAGGACCAGTGGGGGAGGCTCCAGGGAGCGGAATCTTAGTGTGTTCTAAGGAAGAATTTGGAATGCATGGGTTCTCAGGATGTGGGCATCAGGCTCTTGTGGCTGTTTAAGCATCTGCGGAGTGGTTTTTTTGGCAGGAGTCCTGTAGTTGGGCTGAATTACCTCTAAGATCTCTTCCTACCCCTCAGATACTTTTGTTCTAAGTGTTCGAAGTCCTCTTAAAAATGCTTATACTTCGTATTGGAATTTGGTGGTGGTGGGGGGATGTGAAAAGATTGCCACCTCATACATATTACTGTACTTGTTCGGTAGATAACCAAACTACTGTAAGTTGATACATATGTAGCTTGTAATTACCAAGCATATCCTATATGTGCGGCACAATGTTAGGTGCTATACAGAAATTAGTTTTACAGTAACCCAATTTCACAGTTGTATGAAAGAGGGAACTGAAGCCAGTAAAAGTTAGGTAATTTATGTATGCCAGGACTTGAAGTGAGTTAAGGGGAAGTGGGAGCCAAGATGCAAACGTGAGTTTAACTCCAAAGCCTATATTTATAACTACAGAATGAGTTTTGTTTTTATTTCCTTTTCCAAACCCGTACTCTGTTCTTAAATATAGACATATATTGTTTGATAGATGGTGTTAGAGCACACCTAAGATCTCTTCTAACTCTTGAGTATTGATGGTTAAATATGTTATTTCTTTAATTTATAATGGCCATTCTGGCCCACACTATGCTATAAAGTAGGGGTCAACAAACTTTCTGTAGAGGGCCAGATAATAAATATTTTAAGCTTTGCAGCATATACTCAGCTCTACCATTGTATCAATAGATAGTTTGTAAACAATGCGTGTGGCTGTGTTCCATCACAGTTTTTTTAACAGAAATAATTTTTGAAGGGACCTGATTTGGCCTATGGGCCGTGGTTTGCTGATCCTGCTCCAAAGCTATTTTCCATGGTAGACACCAGTGGTCCTCATTGGTCTCTTTAGGTCTTTGGTCAGTTGCATACACGTTTCTGTTTGTAATTTATAGGTTTTAGGTACATCCATTGTAGTGATCCACATTCCCCTTTGTGAATGCCTCTTAAGAGGTGCGCTCTGTATGGAAGGTGGGACCATAATTTTCACTATCCCCGTGACCCGGTGTTCTCTCCTTGCAGTAACTGTAGAGACACGCACACGGGCACAAGGAGGCCTGTTAAAGATAGTAACCTGCTAAATTTAGCATATTTGTGCCATGGAATACTAGCAGCAGTTAAAAAGGACACAATGGATCTCATTTTCTAACCTGGGTTGTCAAAATTTATTGTATAATGAAAAAGTAAATTAGAGATAGATTTGTACAATACCTTTTTGGTTAGAAATGTATTTTTTATACATATATTTTATGGGGTTCAAGTGTGTGAATGCATGAAAGGCCTGATGGTGTTCATACCAAACAAATAAGAACCGGGGAGGTAAGGGGAGGAGCCTGGGGATTGGGGCTGGTGACTGTAGCCTTAACTGTCATGGTTCTGTTTTTGTTTGTTTGTTTGTTCTTTTTTTTTTACAAGGAGAACGTGTTTAATTGCTTGTGTAATTACAGTTTAAGAATAATAATGAAGATCTGCTTAGCTTCAGCCCTTTCATAATCTCCACAAGCCTTCCTAGAGCCTAAGTAAACATACAACTGCAGAAATGCAGTGGGTTTGCAGGGAAGGTGCCTCCCTTCCCCATGGGCTATTAGATGGCTGCTGTTGCATCCCCTCAGCCCAGAGAGTGGAAGATGGAAAGTTATATAGTCAATCTTGTGTTCCAGTTGAGGAAAATCAGATGACAAGATCAGTTTTAGACATGGCTCAGGGCATTTGAGAGACGGCTGCAAGGCTAGGGGGAGGTTTTATGATAACCAAATATTACAGGAAAAGCTGGGCATAGGCGGGTCACTTATTTATTGTTTAAGGATCAATCAGTCCATGTCCTTGCTAATGGCTCTGCCATTTTTCTGTGTGTTAATCCAGGAGGAATTTTGTTGTCAGAGAATAAAAGGAGGTTGTCCATAATTGACTTTAAGCAGCAAACAGTAAAACACTGAGCTCTTCAGCTCCGCCTTTCTTGTAAGTTTATTATTTATTCCCAGTGGTCATAAAAACTAATTAAATCATATGATAACATATTTCCATACATTTGGAACCCTAAATCTAAGTGGACTTTTTATTTGTCCATGTATATTTAATATAAAAGATTCCATTATAATGAAAACTAATTTTTCAGCTAATGTTATTTGCTATTTTAAAAAGTCCATTTAGGTGTATTTAATATTATAGGGCAGTTTTTGATATGTTTTATATTCTTCTAGGCTCTGAGAATTGGAAAACCAAGAAGGTTTTGATGTTTTGTGTGGCGCCACCTGAATTAGAAACCAAGATGAACATAACCAAAGGAGGCCTGGTGTTGTTTTCAGCAAATTCTAATTCATCATGTATGGAGCTTTCAAAGAAAATTGCTGAGTGAGTTATAATTATACCATTAAAATCTGTATTCATTATGTGTTATTTTAAATTTGATAATCAGATTAGCACTGATCGTTCAACTTGAAATCAGCAAATGTTTTATAGTTAATATGCATATCGCCTGTATATATTTAGGGCTAGCTTTTTTGTAAACTATCTTAACACCCTACACATTCATTCAGCAGATGTTTATTGAGTTCCTCATGAGTGCCAGGGATTGTGTTAGGTGCTACATATGCATAGAATTATTTGAGCATAAAAAACAGTGAAGTGGGTACTATATGGAAATAATTTATAGATTATAGTTCAGCATAATTTTAGTTATTTATTAAATAAATATTGAACCCTAACTATGTACTAGGCCTTGATCTAGTTATTAGGAATTAACAGTGAACAGCTAGGGAAGATCCTTCTTACATTTAGTAGGGGTCCAGATAAGAAGTAAGTCAGCAAAATAAACAAGATAATTTCAGATGGGGATAATGCTTTGAAAAAACTAGTGAATTGATGGGCGGGTGGGTTGTTCTGTTTTAGCTTGAATGCTCAGGTGCCTTTTAAACTGAAGGGATGAATGTGAATTAAGAAACCTGAATGAATCACTGAGTGAAGGTTTGGGGCCAGAGCCCTCCAGGCAGAGGGAACAGCAGGTTCAAAGTCCCTATGGTGTGCAGCGGGAGGTGTTGGTGTATCTCAAGAACATGGTTGGGGTGGTGAGAGTATAAGGAGATGGTCAGTGAGGCCAGCAGCAGAACTATGTAGACCTTCTTGGGTAGGCATAGGGTAGGGGGGAGCGGTTAGGTAATGGTGTGACAGTACAATTTAATATTAACTTTAAATTTTATAATAAGACTCTCTCTCATTTCATTTTGTTTTATTTCATTTTTATCAATTTATGAATCATCCTTAAACAGTAAAGATATAGAGTCTATTCAATTACGTTTTCAGCTTTTCCCCCTCTCTCTTCTCTAGGCGGCTGGGGGTGGAGATGGGCAAAGTGCAGGTTTACCAGGAACCTAACAGAGGTGAGCTATCTGTGACATGCATAACATTGATCTTTTTGTGGAATATGACATTCTGGCTCAGTCCTTCATCTTCTCTATTGAAACAGTTAGTCTCAGTGTCCAGTTAGTTCCATTAGCAGAAAGCCAGGCAGGCAAGGTTGGTGAAAGTGATGTTTTACCACCACTAATACCAGCCAGATATAGAACCTTGAGGCAGATCACATCTGTGGGCTTGAATGCCAGCACTTAGACCTCATTTAATAAAAACTGCATAGATACGTGAACCAGCTGGTCGACTGAATGGAAGCATTAGCTCAGCTGTTGGTTGAATTTATGTCACCTTAGGCGGGATGAGTAAATCCTGTGTGGCCACAACATTAGTTAGTTGTTATTCTTTACCTCTATGTTAACTGCTATAGGTTAGACATCATGAAATCTTGTTTGGAAATATTTTTTGCTAATTGATTTATGTCATTGCATAAGCATCTCAAATTGTAAAAAACATATTATTTAACCTTTATAATTTTTGTAGTAATGGTGAAATTATTCTAGCAGGGGTGATGGGCAGCTTGCATGGGCTTGAGAGTCAGACAGCTTATCCTTAGCAAGTTATTTAACCTTTCTAAACTGCAAATAATTAGGGCTGGTTGAGCATTAAAAGCAATAATTTGTATGCCTAACACAGTTCTTGGCACATAGTAGGTAACACAATAAATATTAGTTCCCTTTCCTTTTCCACTGTCGGATTATGTTTAGTACTTAAGTATTATGGAACTTAAAAGGGACTTTGATGAAAAGGCACAAATTTGCTCTTCCCTATTTATTTCTGTATTACTGCCTCCTCTTTCCTATCTTCCAAATTGCCCCTTGTGGCTTCAGTAGGAAAAAAATATAATTGAAGAAAATATGCAGGGAGACTTTGAAGAAGATTCTGCTACTAAAAGGAATTGGATGATGTCCTTTGTCTAGTCTGGAAGGGAGGGCTAAAGGAAGAGCTTGTGGTGGAAGACTTGGGAGGAGGGAGGTCCGCACTCCAGGTTCTTGAATGAGGGCAGAGGAAATACTTAATGTGTGTTGGGAAGGAAAGAGGGAACTACCATTTGTGGATTCTTTCCTGTTATCAGATTCTGAAGAACTGAGTTCAAGGATGATGGTAGGTAGGATGTCCCAGAAGTAGCAGGGTCAATATTTGAATCTAGTTCTCTTACTCTAAAGCTCATTTTCTTTTCATGATGTCACATTGTTTTGTAAACACATACTCTGTTTTTTTCCAACATTTTAAATGAAAATGTTGAAACGTTTAAAATAGTTGAAAGAATAGTACAGTGAACACCCATGTGTATATCTACTACTTAGATTTGACAGTTAACATTTCGCTATATGATTATGTATGTTTACAATTAAGTTGTAGACATCAAGATACTTAACTACTGAATACTTGATCATGCATCTCCTAAGAATAATGACTTTATCTTACATGAATACACTACCAATGTCACATTTAAAGATGTTAATGATACCTCTAATCACCTAATGTCTAGTCTGTATTCACATTTTCTACTTGTCCTAAAGAGCCTTTTATAGCTGGGTTTTTTTTTTTCAAACCAGGATTCTTGGTTCAGGCAATGTATTTGTAATATCTCTTTAGTTTCTTCTAATGTAGAGCAATCCCTCATTTTTCTTTTTTCTTCTCATGACATTGACTCTTCGAAGAGGTTGTCTTATTCCATTCTGGATTTGTCTAATTGTTTCCTTGTGGCTGATCACAAATATTTTGAGAGTAGGGATATCAGACCTTATTTATCTTTGTTATAACATTTTGTTCTTAATAAGTTTTTAATTTTTGCTGTTTGAATGAGTATATAATTTCCTATAAAGATACTATGCTCAGAGTGGTACAGTGTTTACTGCTTACATACAGGAAGTGAGAAGGATAGATTTACTGGGTTCAAGTCGGAAGTGAAATTCTGTCCTAAAGATATCATGTAACTAACCATGTTTAAAAGTGTGATTAATGGCAGTATGTCAATTATCCTTTTGTAGCATCTAAAACTTAATCTGTTTTGTAACAGGTCCACTTTCCATATTTTATAACATTGGAGAATGATGCAAATTATGTATTTTTAAAAATGTAAATTATATGTCTTCTTTACTTCTCCTTCTTTTTTCCTTTCCTACCAGAAACAAGAGTACAAATTCAAGAGTCTGTGAGGGGAAAAGATGTTTTCATCATTCAAACTGTTTCAAAGTGAGTACTTATCCAACAGAAGTTTTATTGCTTTCTAGGTTTCAATTTGGGCATGAGTGTTTAGAATAATAAGATTTGGCTAGACAGGAAGAATTAAGGTAGTTTTATAATTGGTATAGCATACTCTGCTAATTTTTCTGACCTAACTGCTAATGTTTATGTGTTCCTTCAGTATTCTTAAAGAGTGGAAATAACCAATTATAGTAGTCCCCCCTTATCCATGGGAGTATGTTCCAAGACTCCCAGTGGATGCCTAAAACTGTGCATAATACTGAACACTATATATACTATGTTTTTCCTCTAGATACATACCTATAATAAGGTTTAATTTATAAATTAGGCACAGTAATGGATTAACAACAATAACTAATAAAATAGAACAATTATAATGATATGCTGTAATAAAAGTTATGTGAATGTAGTGTCTCTCTCTCTCTCTCTCTCTCTCTGTCTCTGATAACTGATCTGATAACAAGATGGCTTACTAAGTGACTAATGAACAGGTGTCATATATAACCTGGATATCCTGGACAAAGGATGATTAATGTCCCAGGTGGAATGGAGTAGGATGGTGAGAGATTTCATCACGCTACTCAGAATGGCGTGCAATTTAAAACTTAAAACTTTAAAACCTTAAAATAAGGTATTTGTAATCCTTTTATCTCCCCAGAAACAGTGTGACTCCATTTGGAGAAATGTACAGAGGTTGTGTGTATTACCCAAGGGGATAAGTAGGCATTGAAGGCCAAATTTGGATTTAGAATTCAGGACTTCAGAAGGGTGACTTTTGTAGTTCCCATTTTCAAGTCCTTTTATTTCTCTCTTTTTATTTATTTATTTTTCAACACATCGATTTCTAACCCTGCCTTTTGTCAGTTTCCCATACCTCTAGCCAAAACCATATCCTTGATTTTCTCCACATGTCTTATTTTGCATTTTTCTGAACTTTGCAGTAGGCTTGTGTTAACTCAGTGATTCCTACTCTTGTCCTGGTTGCAGAAAGCCTGGACATCATAGTCTTCTTTCTGAAATACTGTGAAGTAGTTAACATTGAGATTTCGTACTGTCAGATACATCTTATACTTCATTTTAATACAGACTAGTGGTAGGCACTAAAAATATAAGAAAGTTTTTAAATAAAGAAAATACTGTCCATTAACTTTTCCTATAATTCAAATAAGTTTATTATTTGACTTTAGTGATGGAAAGCCTTATACCAGCTCATAGAAAAATGGTGCTCCTGGGAGCATAGTTTAGGAACTTCAGTGTAACTTAACACTCACTATTGGTTCCTCTACTCTTACCCTTTTACGTAGAACACTTTTCTGAAAGTCTACTTTAAATCTTCAGATTCAGAGTTATTAGAGATTAACAGATAACCTACTCATCCAATTGTTCTGTGTTTCTACATGCTCATTCATTTATTAACAGATATTTATTGAATATGCTAGTACAAGTGTGTGAGATGCATTAATGATTAAAACATAAAAATCCTTGTTCTTATGGAGTATATATTCTAAGACTTGCAAGTTACATACTAAATAAGTAGATTATCTCGTTTGTCAGAAGGTCAGATGAGTGCTATGGAAAAAAGAACCAAAATAGCATGGCAAGGAATTGGGAGTGATGGTGGTGAAAGCATGGAGAAAGGACAGGGTAGACCTCATTAGAAGTTGACATTAGACAAAAACTGAAAGGAGGTGAGGGAGTAAGCCAGATGACCAGCTGGGGAGGAGAGCATTCCAGGTGGTGTGAGCACCTAGAGTGAAGGCCCTTGGGTGGAAGTAAGCACTTAAAAATTATTGAGTGTGGCCAGACTGAGACGGGGGCTATGGAATAGGAGTGGACAGCAGAGAAATGGTGGTGAGGGGCAGATCATGAAGGGGCTTTGGGAGCCATCATATGGCCATGGGCAAAATGGAAAATCATTGCTGGATCTTAAGCAGAGGGCTACATGATCTAACTTTCATTTTGATATCTAGATGGATGCTGTGTGGACAGTGGACTGCAGAGGGACTGTTGGAGGGTTGGGGAGGGAGACCTTTGGTAATAGGCTGTCACAGTCACCTGGTTGAGGGACAAGAGTGGCAAAGTCCTAGTGGTGTAGTGAGACACTGTCATTTTCTAGAAAGAACAGTTAAGGATGCTGCTGAGATTTTTATTCTGAGGAAATTGGAAGACATTCAGGTGGAATCATCAAGTAGCAGTTGAATTTGTTAGACTGGAGTTGAGAAGCTTGGACTGAAACTATAAATTTGAGTCTTCAGCACTTATAGAGCTGTGAAATTGAATGAGAAGCCCAAGGGATGAGAGGAATTAGAAGGGGAAGAGGATAAATGAATGAGTGTTAGGGCAAGAAGTTGGGGAGAAGAGGAACCAGCAAAAGAAACCAAGTAGGGTAGGAGGAGAGGAGTTAGGGAATTCTAGAAGTCATGTGAGTCTAGTGTAGCAGGGGTGGAGGTGAGCAGCCATGTATTATGCTGCCAGGGGGTCAGATGAGAGAAGTACTGGGATTGACCATGTGATTTAACCATGTGGAGGTCATTGATGACCTGGATTGAAATGTGTTCAGGAGAGAATGAGTAGATGAATTGGAGATAGTGAGTGTAGACAACTCTCCTGAGATGTACTACACAGGGGAGCAAACAAATGGGGCAGTGGGAAAAGTGGTCATGAGTTGTTTTTAATGGAAGGAATAACAATGTTTATAGGCTGATGGGTATGAACCATGGGAGTATAGTTAGAAGTTGAAGGTGGAGGCAAGAGAGGGAGCATTGCTAGAGCAATATCTTCCAGTAAGCAAGAGGGCATAGGGATGAGTATAATTTGGAGGGATGATTTTAGAGTAACTTTGGTGTGGAAAATTCATCTCTTATAGGGTACTTATAGGGTACAGATGTATGTTGCAGTGGGAGCCTGTGACACCTCTTTTCTGAGTTCTTTTCTCAGCGAAAAAGGAAGTAGGAGCACGTAGGAGAAGGAATATGGCCTGAGAAGAGAGGAATTTGTTGTTTCTTTTTTGTGCTTTGAGCCTTAAGTCTTGGTAGTGGCATGAGTAGCACATTGCTGACACTTTGTTTGAACAGGGAGATATTATCAAATGTCTTACATTCCTTGCTGAGATTTTTGTCTCTTGGGTTACAGGGACGTGAATACCACCATCATGGAGCTCCTGATTATGGTGTATGCGTGTAAGACCTCTTGTGCCAAAAGCATTATTGGTGTGATTCCCTACTTTCCTTACAGCAAACAGTGCAAGATGAGAAAAAGAGGCTCAATTGTTTCTAAATTGCTGGCTTCAATGATGTGCAAAGCTGGTAAGAATGGCAGATATTTTATAATTATTTGGGTGCCTGAGGATTTTATTTTACCTTAGAAATTGTAATGCATTGTTTTAACTAAATTAGAATGCATGCTGAACAGAGTAAAAATAGTGATATAGCTTTTGAAGATAACAAATTTATAATGATAAAATAGTGTAGAGAACTCACTCCTGTTCCCAACTCCCCCAAACACAAAAAGTAATGAGAACAACTTATTTTTTCCTAAATCCTTTGTTTAAAAAATTATATTGAAATGACAAGTTATAATCATATTATGTCATTTTTAGAGGGGGAAAAAGCATTTGGGGCCAACTATTCTAACACAGCAACTACTTTTATTTTAGCCTCTTCTCTTTCCCAAGACAGACTGGTATATCGCGTAAACCATATGTATTATTTTGTGTTGTGTATTTTCAGGTGCCTCCCCCTTGTTTCTAAATAATCAGAATTGTTATTGTGTATGTGCATGTGCATGTGTGTATATGATTATAGAAAGCACACATCAGAGCATTTGCACAGAGAGAAAGGAATAAAAAGTCCTCATCGCTGTATTTTAACACTGACACTTAACTATAGAATACATTTTCTACTGTAGCGTCTAAAGAAGGCAGAAATAAAACAAAATTTAATGAAGCCCAAACCCCAGCAACCTCAAAAGTATACCCCATTGAAAAGTGGTAGTAGGCTAAAGGGAGCAGGCAGGCTCATAGAGCCTTCCAGAAAGGTTCTGCTCTTTTCTTCTAGCCTTGATCCTAGGTGGGCCATTAGGCTTCCTTTCCTGTTCTTTTGGGAAAGTTTTCTTTAAAAAATTTTTCCAATTATATTTTCCTAATATCTTTATACCAAATATCATATCAAATATCCTTTAATGAGCCAGCGGATGAAGGTTGTTCATTTTCTTCAATTCAAGTGATCGTATCAAATATCCTTTAATGAGCCAATGGATGAAGGTTCTTCATTTTCTTCAATTCAAGTCTTAACCGTTGGTCTTAATATTTTAAGACAGTATTTGTCGTAGTATGATTTTGCCATGCCTTTTAAGAAAACTTCAAGGAGACATAATTTGCTGTAATATAATTATCAGAGACGTTCCTTCGGTACTATTATCTTTGCTATTTTAAGACTTAAAATTGATGTGAAAATTATGCATCTCTGCATAAGAAAAATCACCCAGTCTTTCCCTTCTGAGTAGGGAAAACCCCAGTTCTCTACCTCCTGAATATTTCATTTACTACTCAACACAGAACACTTCACTTCTGACACTTCTGATCACAAATGTTTTCTCTGTAACATCAGCTGGATGTCCTACAATTTAAGTTCTGACACTCTATCTTAGATAGATATCTATCTGGAGATCGTATTGGATCCCATAGGTTAAGGGCTCAGTCCCACAAAACTGCCCACCCCCCTTTCAGATGCTAGTCACAAGTCCAGGTTGTCACTTGTGCTTCTGATCATTTGTCTGTAAATCTGAGGTTCCCACTATCCTCTCCTTGGATTTGATTAATTTGTTAAAGCAGCCCATAGAACTTAGGAAAATGGTTTATTTACTGTTTTTCAGTTTATTATAAAAAGATATAATAAAGGATACACATGAACATCCAGATGGAAGAGCTATATAGAACAAGGTATGTGGGAAAAAGGGCCATTAGGCTTCATTGCCCTCCCAGGACACACAATTCTTCTAGCACCTCCACCTGTTCAACCTGGAAGCTCTCTAAAACTCGTGTTATTGGGATTTTATGGAGGCTTCCTCTACTAGGCATGATTGATCATTCCATTTCCAGGCCCTTTCCTCTCTCTGGAGAAGGGAGAAGGGGATGAAAATTCTAAGCTTCTATTTATGATTTGGTCTTACAAATAACTAGCCCCCATCCAGGAGCCATCCAGGAGCCCACCCAGAGTCACCTCATTAGAATGAAAGACGTTTCTAGTGCTCTTATCACTTAGGAAATTATAAGGGTTTTAGGAGCTCTCTGCCAGGAACCAGGGGCAGAGACCAATGTATGTATTTTCTATTATCTCACAATCTTATACTAAAATATCTGAGAAATAAAGATGCTAAGTTTTTTTCGATGAGAGCAACTTTTTAATAGTAATTATATATAGTATTCTATTTTACATAGTGCTTATTTCATACAATGCAACCGGTTGTTAAACTATTTATGTGTTTGTGTCTGCTTTACTTTGAAAGGTTTAACTCATCTTATTACTATGGATTTACACCAGAAGGAAATTCAGGGCTTCTTCAATATTCCTGTTGATAATTTAAGAGCATCTCCCTTCTTATTACAATATATTCAAGAAGAGGTGAGCTAGCTCAAAGTTCTTTATTTTAACATTCTGTTTAAGGTTGAAAGACATTTCCATTTCCTTGGGCTGTCCGTAAAGGATTAAAACTTGATATATTCTGCTTAAAGTACTATTTACTTTGTAAATGTAACTCAATGTATTTTATAATTCTTAATCTGAAATTTATTTATTTTGCTGAGCTCTTAATTGCTTTTCCTTCTTTTGGACCTCAGGTACCTAGAATTGGACTAGTCGTGATCATGATAACTCACTCATTGGTTCATGCAGGGCCCTCTTTTATGTGTCCATCTCTCCAATCTTTTCTCTCTGTTCATCCATCTATAGTAGTCAGCATCCATGATCCTACTACCCAGCAAGTAAACTAGAATCATCATAGTAACTTATATCCACTCATGTGGTCCTTCTGTGTTCTATCCCTCTGCCTCCTCCCATCAGAGGGAAGCATCATCCTGAATCTTGTTTCTCCCAATTTCCTTTTTATATAGTTTTATCTCATTCATGTATACACACCACACACACACACACACACACACACCCTCTATGTATATATTACTCAAAGACAAAAACAAACAAAATATATATGTATTTAAACTTTATAAAAAAGTATCAAACTATAATCTTTTGGGAATTTTTTACTTGATGTTACATTAATAAAAGTCATTCATGTTGCTGTGTGTCACAGTTAATCCATTTTGACTACTGAGAAATATTCATTGGGGGACTGTTATCACAGTTTATTCATAAGATTTTTGCTGTCGTGATAGTACTCCTGTGAACATTCCAATATGTGCCTCCTGTGGTACTTAAGCAAAAGTGTATCTTACTTATAAACCTAGAGTGGAATTGTTAAATTGCATTGTATGTAAATGTTTAATTTTTCCAAAGTTGTTATCCCACTTACATTCCCACCAGCAATGAATCAGATATCTTGTGGATGCAGCCTTGCTTCAATACTTATATTATCAGAATTAAAAATTTTTGCCAATTGAATGGCTATGCTGTTGTATCTTGTTGTCACTTTGATGGGTATATCACTGATGCCTTAAGAAGTTGAACATTTCTTAAATGTTTTCTGTGAAAAGATGCTTAATATCTTTTGTCTTCAGTGGTTTTGTTTCTTTGTGAGCTATAGGCATTCTTTTTTTATTCTTGAGTCTAGCCATATTATTTAGTATTTGTTTCACATATATCTCTCAGTTTATAACTTTTCTTTTAATTTTCTTTAGGGAGTCTTGATAAGCAGACATATTAAATTTTTTTTCATTGAAGTGAAATTCACATAACATAAAATTCACCATTTTAACACAACTTAGTGGTATTCAATACATGGACAGTGTTGTATACCCATCACCTCTATCTAGTTTTGAAACTCATCACTCCAAACACCCTGTACCCATTAAGTTAATCACTACCTATCCCTCCCTTCCTCCATCTCCTGGCAGTCACTAATCCACTTTCTGTCTCTGGATTTGCCTATTCTGGATATTTCATATAAACAGAATCATATATTATGTGAACTGTTGTGTTTGGCTTCTTTTACTTAATACAATGCTTTTGAGGTTCATCAACATTATAGCATGTATCAGATCTTCCTGGGTCTGTACCAGGGTTTTTAAAGAAAATTATGAAGAAGAAGGCTACAAGTATATTTTTATTGTGTAGGTAGAGATCCCTTCCTATCCTATCAGTTTTTAAAATAGGAACTTCTAGAGTTATCCTGTTTCTGATCGCCCCCCTTCCGTGTTCTTCTTAGTGTCTTTGTATCAAGCTGCTCTCATTATCATAAAAAATGAGATGTAGCAGGAAATGGAAAACTAGGGACAGGGGTAGAGGTAGAGCAAAGGAGTTTGGGATGTAGGGCAATTTGAGTCTTTGTGGTTCCACAGGTGGCCCTAACGATGTTTTCTCTTAATTGTTCAAGGGAAAGTTACTGTTGAGTTTGGAAGTCAGACTTCCTTGACGTGTAGTGTGTTTCCCCCTCCACTTGATAATGAATAATAGTTTTCTAAAAAATCAAAAATGAAAATTTATGTTTGCAATGGTATAATACATGTTCGTATATAATAATTATGACAGTACTGATAAAAGCACCAGCTTCCCTGGACCACCAACCTGGTCCTGGGCCCCTCTGCAGAGGTAACAGCTCCTTGTTACCAGCTTCCTTTCTGTCCTGTATCCTCTCAGATCTTCAACATATTATATGCATTGTTTTGCAACTTGTTCTTTCCTTTCCCAGGCTGGTATCTGGAGGTCTTCCATGCTAAGATACATAGGTATACTTCTTTCTTTATAATTGCTACATAGTACATATTCCTTAGTTTAGAACAAAAATGTCCAAATAGAACTTTCTGTAATAGTGACTATGGAGTCCTTGAAATGTGACTAGTGTGAGTAAAGAACTGAATTTTCATTTTATTTAAGTTTAACTTGAATGTTTAAAGCACAAGTTGGAACGAACCAGTTTTTCAACCATTTCCCTTGAATTTAAATTGAAATATTTTATTTTCAATATATATTTAAGTAATGCTGCATTAAAAATTCTTGTATTTACCTCTCTGAGTACTTATATGAGTATTTTTCTGAGATACATTAATAAGTGGAATTGCTTGATTGAGAAGTATCTATGCTTAAAAATTTTTAAATAGATATTGCAAAAATTGGAATTCTCTGAAAATTTAGTATTTAATAGATATCACAAAAATTGCAATAATCTGAAGGAGCTGTATTAATTTATACTCCCAGCAGGAGTACATACGATAGTACCTGTTTCCTAGCACTCTTAAAAAAATCAAGGTGCAAAACTATTTAATGGAAAAAACAATACTACATTTATTTGAATTTTTTACTTCTCTGATTTCTAGTGTAATTGAGCATCTTGTTATATAGGACTTTTGCGGGGGGCAAGGGGGACGACCAGAATTTCCCTCATCTAAAACAGTGTTTATTGTTTTGCTGTGGTTTGAAATTTCAGCACAATGTGTCTGGGGTAGATCTTTTTTCTATTCATATTGATAGATACTCAGTAGGTCCCTTTTATTCTCTGTAATTTTTTTTTTTCCCCTGTAATTTGAGTATTTCATGCCTTCTATTTTTTTCATTCTTTCCTTTGGGAACTGTTATATGTTGACAATTTTGGATGTAATCTCTGTATTGTTTAACTTTTTTTTTTTTCCCCCAAGTTTTTGGTTTTTATAAACTGCATTGTGGGATAATTCCTTGGCCTTATCTCCCAGGTTTTTTCTTCAGCGGTGTCTGTAGCCAGCCATCTACTGAGTTTCTTATTTGGACCATAATCACTTCTACCTCCTAGATTTCTTTTTGATTCTTTTTTTTATAGCAACTTATTCTTTATGTATATGATTTCCTGTTTTAACTTTTGAGGAGAAAACAGACCTGTTTTTATTGGAGTCCTTTCTTTTAAAGTCTTCTTTTCTTTGCTTTATTAATTGTTCCCTGGGTCATTTCTTCTCCTGCCTGGGTTTGTTGCTGTGTTAGATGATGTTTGATGAGGCAAGGAAGTACATACAACAGTTTAGAAAGACTTCTAGCAAAAATAAGGAAAGTGTCTAAAATGAAACTATTTTTGCTACCTTGCTCATTGGCAGTTTTGGATAAATTAGGCTTTCCTGTAAGGATATCTGATCCATATGGTTATGTTGGATATATCTATAATAGAGCCATCTTCAAATTAATCAGTTTTTAGTTTGTTTACTAAGTATTTATTTGCAGTTCCCATGTACTAGGCATTGCATAAGGTGCTGTTAAGTGCTTATATTAAAATTCATTGCTGTAGCATAATTGTGAGAAAAAAGCAATGGGAGTATAATTGAATGAAATAGAATGATTTAATGAAGTGATTAAAATTTAAGAACATAAAATATTGAAAATCTTGCCAAAATGAAGTCAGAAACAACAAACTACTACTCAAGCTTAAAAATAATTCTGTCTTCTAAACTCTTAGAAGTTGATAATGGATGTATCTTCAGTTATAATTACCACTAACAGATCACTTCAGTCATTCAAATTCATTTATTCCAGAGAAGACTGATATTTTAGTTATTTTCTTAAGGGCTCTTAATATCTTTATAAAACAGCACTGGACTGATTGTCCTTTGACAAATTAATTTCCTCAGTATATGACTGAGATACATTAAATAGTCATATTTTTTGACTGCACTAATTTGAAATTTGACAATTACCGTGGATTCAGATTGGATGGTTATAATCCTTGCACTGTGAAATGACAACTTCCTCTTCATTGTAAAACTGTGTTTATACCACATTATTCATATTTGCTGGTGCATAGATATGACCTAATCACCAGTTAGCCCAACTTTTTTCTTAAGTCTGTGAGGCTCATACCTTGATATTTTTTCCTAGTTATTCCTTCGTTTTCCATAGGAGAAATTTACTTTGAACTTTTCTCTTTCTGGAAAACTTTTAAGTGACCAGATGGATGACATTTTTGAGTCTGTGGAAATGTTCCTTTTTATTGATTGTTTGGTGTTGGTGTGAATTAATAGCCTTGTGGAGACATGGCAGTAATCCCTGACCTCTCGTCTGTCACAGATCCCAGATTACAGGAATGCTGTAATTGTGGCCAAATCTCCAGCCTCAGCCAAGAGGTAGGTGGGAGCTCACGATCGAACGCTCCTTGGATTTATATCCTGGGATCATATCTCCAATCATATCCCTGATCATATTCTGGGTGTTCTGGATTCTTACTCATTGGTGTCCCTTATTTTTATTTTGTGGACTGATAGTTTAAAAGATTGTCTGCTGACTCCATTTATTAAGTGATGATTGATTTTCCTCTTGTGTTTTTCAACCCCAATCCGTGACCACCAGTCATATTTCATAACTGAAGCCTTCCAGGTCTGGAGAATCCCAACCTAGTGCTTTCTTGCACTCGCAGGTTGGTGGCTGCTTGTTGTTAATCTTCAAATCTGGCATTTAAAATATTAGCACTTTCCTTTGTAGTTGTTTACTGCCTTTTATTTAGAGAACTCAATAATTTATTAACAGAATTGTATCCAGCCCAGAGGCCACTTATTGGTATGGATTAAAATGTGGTACTTCACAGAGCCAAAACACCCTGAGGCATACAAATGGGGCAGTGCTGTGAGAGTCACATATAACTTGGAGTAACTGATGAGTCATACAGAAGTTAGAGTTGTTTTTGGGCTGAGAGGATGTCATATATCAGTGTTTTCTGGAGAAGTCACTCCATTGAAGAGGGAATGACAAAAGCAAATGTAGGAGTAAAGCCTTTTTCCTAAAAAAGCTCTTTTAAAATTATTTCTCAAAATCGAATACCTTTGCTCACTGGTTCATTATTGAGTCCTATGGAATGAAAGCATAGGTACCTCCATCCTGGGCCTATGGACTGTTAATTTTGAAGGATGAAGGAGAGCTTGCACATAGTAAGCCATTGATTTAGAATATTACAGATAAATAATTTTCCATTATCAATTTAAGAATGACATTGAGTATATTAAATCAATTAGGTTGCCACTTGTGGTAAAACTATGAAGTTGACATGTTCTTAGAGATGACCTCGTAGTCCAGCTAGGGCTGTGCCCACACACAGTTCCTTCAGGAAGGAAGTCTCATCAGAATCTCACATTGTCCATTTGATTAAATCAACTGTCACTCATGTTGGAATATAAACATTTCAAACAACTTTTCCAAACATTTGTGCAAAGGCTGAACTAATTTTAATTTAGTAATTTTTTTTGATACACAGGCTTTTTAAAAATTTAAAGTGAAAATCATGCAACATACAATTAACCATTTTAGAGTATACTATTCTCTGGCATTTAATATACTCACAATGTGCAATCACCACCTCTTTTAGTTTCAAAACCTCTTCATCACCCTAGAACACCTGGACTCATTATGTAATCACTTCTTCACCCAGCAGTTGGCAACTATTAATCTGCTTTCTCTGTGGATTTCTTATTCTGGATATTTCATATAAATGAAATTATACAATATATGGCCTTTGTGTCTTGTTTCTTTCACTTAACATAATGTTTTCGAGGGCCATTCATGTTGTAGCATGTGTTGGTATTTGACTTTTTTCATAGCTGAATAATGTTACATTGTATGGATATGCTATACTTTATCTGTTCATCCATGGATAGACATTTGTATTATTTCTACCTTTTGGCTATTTTGAATAGTACTTATATAAACGTTTGCTTATAAGTTTCTGCACTGAAATATGTTTTTATTTTTTGTGGATGTATGCCTTGGATTGAAATTCCTGGGTCATTTGGTAATTCTATGTTTATAGTTTTAAGGGGCCACCAAAACTGTTTTCCAGAGCAACTGTTTTACATTTTACAGTCTCATCAGCAATGTGTAAGGGTTCTAATTTCTCCACATCATTACCAACACTTATTTTCTAGTTTTTTGATTATAGCCATCTGGTGGGTGTGAAGTGATATCTCATGGTGGTTGTGATTTTGATTTCCCTAATGATTAATGATGTCGAGCATCTTTTTTTTTATTAAACGCCTACAGCACCTGGTATTTCTAGGTGGTCTCCCATCCAAGTACTAACCAGGCCTGACGCTGCTAAGCCTCCAAGATCAGACAAGATCGGGCACGTTCAGGGTGGCATGGCCGTAGATGTTGAGCATCTTTTTGTGTGCTTCTTGGCCAATAGTATGTCTTTGGAGAAAACGTCTACTCAGATCCTTTGCTCATTTTTAATTGGATTGTTTGTCTTTTTGTTGTTGAATTGTGGGAGTTCTTTATATATTCTGGATACTATGATTTGCAAATGAGCAAATCAGATTTGCAAATGAGCAGATCAGATATATAATTTATAAATATTTTACTCCCATCCTGTGGGTTTTCTTTTCCCTTTCTTCATGATGTCCTTCGATGTACAAAACTTTTTAATTTTTATAAAGTCCAATTTAACTTTTTTATTGTTGTTGCTTGTGCTTCTGGTGTTATATCTAAGGGTGCATTGTTAAATCCAAAGTCATTAAGTTTATCCCTATGTTTTCTCTTAATAGTTTAGTTTTAGCTCTTATATTTAGGTTGTAGATCTACTTTGAGTTGATTTTTATATATGAAGTGAGGAAGGGATCCTCACTTCATTCTTCATTCTTTTCCATGTGATTATCTGGTTTAGTTGTCCAGCACCTTTTGTTGAAAAGACTATTCTTTCCCCCTGTAATGGCTTTGGCACCCTTGTCAAAAAACAATTGGCCGTAGATGTTTGCATTTATTTCTGAACTCTCAGTTTTATGCTATTGTCAGTATGCCAACACTACCCTGTTTTGATTACTGTAGCTTTATAGTAACAATTAGATCAAAACAATCAGAAGTAGGTGAAAGTGGGAGTATAGACTCCTTACTTGTTCTCCACTGACACCAAGAGGGGAGTGGCCTTGCTACCACTAGGTTGGTGAACGTCCTAACTCCACTAGGCCTCCTCTGATACCACCTCATTGGGGAGGGGGAAATGTACCTCTTTACTGCTGAGTTGGGGTGGATGTCCAGGTTTCACTCTCCACTGACACCAGTGGATGGGGGTTCATTACCACTGAGTAGGGATGAAAGTCCCAGCTCTGTGCTTGGCCTTCTCTTAATCCACCCATTGCAGATTCGGGCTACATCATTTTGCTTGGCAAGGAAGAAGTGTAGACCCTCAACTTGGTCTTTGCTCATGCTGGGGAGAGGTACAGCTGCAGTTTTTTCTGTGGTGTTTGGCTAGACTAGGGCAGTTATTGTCTTACAGTTTTCTGACTTGCAAGGCTACTCCTTTCTTGGTTTTTTGGATAGAGAGAGTGGGCTCTTTTGAGGCTTTGTGCCTGTTGGCATGTTTGGGTTGCCTGTTTCTCAGCTGCAAGTCTGGCATAATGCAAACAGAAAGCTTAGAGGACTCATCTCCATGTCATTTTTCTAGTCCTGAGGTCCCTAACCAGTCTTCTTTCTCCTCTCCACCATCAGAGTCTTGTATTTGTTTCATATATATAATATCAAGGTTTTTAGGTGTACTTAGTGGGAGGAGTACGCCATATTAGCGGAAGCAGAAGCTGCAGCAATGTATTTCGATAATTTTTTTTTCTCACTGAATGCAGAAGAATGATGAATTTTCTTTTGACTCATCCATCTGGGCAGGCTTCTGGTAACTTCTATAATCCTCATTTTACATCTGACATCCTGTGTTGATGAGATAGATGAATGAGTGGTAAAATTTTTATCATTGTGGTAGTCTTTTGCTCAGTTTATTTGGCATTTATTAGTACTACAGTGATGTTTGTCATTTATCCATTCAGATGTTTATTAAAAACCTATTGAGGTGAGTCTGATGAGGCCTAGAAAGATGCCCTCTCAGGGAGCTTATGTTGCATGTCATGTGTTTTATCTACTCTTGTGGACTGGATGTTTGTTTCCCTCCCAAAGTTCCTATGTTGAAATCCTAACCTTGCCCAATGTGCTGCTATTAGGAGGTGAGGCCTTTGGGAGGCAATTAGGTCATGAAGGTGGAGCCCTCATGTATGGGATTCGGGCCCTTATAAAAAGAGACTAGGTAGAGAGTTTGCTCGGGCTCTCTGCTCTCTGTCTTGTGGAGATACAACGAGAAGATGGCCATCTGCAAACCAGAAGAGCACTGGATCTGCCGATGCCTTGGTCATGGACTTCTATGCTCTAGAATTGTGAGAAATAAATTTCTGTTATTTAAGCTACCCAGACCGTGGTATGCTGCTATAGTAGCTGGAACTAAGACATCTGTATTATCCAGTTTGATATTCTCTACTTAGGAGGTCAGGGTTTATCTTTCACAGGTGAGTAAATATACCCAAGGAGATGAAGAAACTTATCTAAGGTGATTCAGCTGTATGTTGTTTACTGGGAGGTAGTGGCACAACTGCTTACTTCTTGGAGTATTTTCTATACCAGTGATTATCAGATTTGGGTGTTGGCCAAATATGATTGAAATTGATTTGCCTATTTACTTGATTGCCTTTACTTAGTATATATGAGTGCCAGTCCATGCCTGGGGCTGTGCCAGGCTTTGTGGATAAAATTTACTATAACAGTTTTCTAAGGTGGTAAACAGTGTAGACATTGCTATTCTCCTCTGGAGCTTACAGACTGCCTCATGTGCTGTTCGGCTAGTAGGTCATTAGGTAGATTAGAATGAAGTATCCAACCTTTTTCCCCCTCAGCTTCTGCTATTTTGTCCATGTAGGTATACTGCATTAAAGAAATGTGTTAGGATGGAGATGGTTGCTACAAAAGGCTAAGTTATGGCTGGTAGTTTGTTCTTCGCATTAAAGATATTATGAGAGCTCTTGTGGTCAGTTGCATCAAACATGGTAAAGTAGACTTTGTGGCTGTCTGTGTCTCCCACAGCTAAGTTGTAGTGATTTTTTTTTTAATTCTAATGTTAGAGTTTGAGATGGCACTGTCTGACTTAGTGACATGCCATTTTTGATCTGATTGTTTCTAGCTTCTTCCTCCAAGTTTTCCGTTTGGCACCTAGCCTTAGAAAACTGTTGTAGTTAATTTAAAAGACACCCTAGAGCAGCAGGAAGATAGTTAAACTAGGATTTAGTAAACATGGGCTTCCAGTTGGGGCTTAGCTAATCTTTGTGAG